CCCCAAAATTTTCAGCTTCCTAGCTTTTGTGGTCCCCGAATTGAAAATTGCGGACAAGTTGCTGCGGACACACACACACAGACAACCCCGTGAGAATATGCGTTTTGTGCTGCTGTTACACAGCACAAAACACATAAGAAAAGGCAAGCACAGGTTTGGCATAAAGAAAAGTCGTTTGTCACCACTGGATATCGCTCTTTGTGCAGGACTTTCAGCGCCACATAGTTGGCCAGTGGCAGCTTGGTATTCCTTTTCTTTTGCCCATTTCTGAGCAGTAGGCTTGTTTTAACAGTCTACCGCTAGAGCCAGAAAACCCCTCATCATAGCATACTAAATTGGCAATTCTTTTGTTAAAGTTGCCGTGTCCGTGCTGCTAAAGAAACTTCGCTGTTAATGTTATCTCACTGCTCGTGTACAGTCCCCTCACCGTACTTAATTGAATACTTGAACAGCAACTTCTCCATCCAACTCGTTATTGCGCTGTCCGAGTCCATGTGGTACCGTATGGGCATTCCATGGAGGTCTCCCCATCTCAGTGGTAGCCTTTCCAGTGTTCGCTTGGCCGTGCGCGGGTACCATTCTGTTATCCGCTTCGTTCATCTATTACCTGTCATCCGCGCTACATGACCAGCCCGTATCTTCACCACAAACATGCAAAAAAAAAACGCATGAGGGTGGGGCGTGCTTGACCTCTGTGCTCCGTGTTGTGTTTTTGCATCTTCGTACAAATGCAAAAACCTGTACTGTCGACAGATTTCGGTGTGTGTGTGTGTGTGTTTGTGTTCATATTTTTGTGACTCATTTTCAACTCTGCATCCATAGAAAGTAAGAAACTGAGGCTTTTAGGGTATATGAAGCTCCATTTTTGTAATCATCGTCTTTGTACATATGTGTCTCATGTACGAAGGGTTAAGAGAATCCGTACAAATCCTTTGGCGGGAAAACGATTTCGGGAACTAGGCAAAATAGGAAGCTGAGATTTCGCAGAAATGTTTTGTGCCGTTGTATGAGTTAAAGATTTCAAATTCAGTTTTGTCACATGTACAAATACATAAAAATTGAAATGGGTATCGCTGATAAAAATAACTCACGAATTAAGCTGTTTAGGGCGCTTTAACTTTAAAAGAATACCTTCTTCCTATGTGTGAGTATTTAGGCATAAGCTCGCCTGTGTTGCGTGTTACCGGAATATTTCAAATTTAGATTTAAAGGTTACCTGGGTTTCGCTTGGGTGCAAACGAAAGTTCGTTTGGTTCGCTTTATCGATCCCCCTCCCCCTTCTCCCCCCCGGCAATACAGGCGAACTCTGTACAAGGTGGGATTATGCAGAAACGCATGGCCGCA